TGCTGGGCTGTGCGTCCAGTGTGTGCAGCAGCTGTAACCAGCTGTCTCAGCGGCCAGGGCCAGTGGCCTGCCTGCAGGGTGACCATCATGACAGGGCTGCCGCTCAGGCATTCCGGAGTGCCTGGGGTGCTCACCCTCTGTTCTGCTCCGCCCCCTCGACTTCGGATCCCGTCCCAGCCCACCCCCTCCATCCTGGGCCGCGGGGAGGACCTGCGTGGAGGCTGGAATGCTGCAGGGTGAGGGAGGGGGGCCCCCCAGAGGGGGCGGAAGTGGAGGAGGGGCCAGGAACGAGGCAGGAGATGGTGGGACAGGGACAGACAAAAATAGACGAGACTGAGAACTGGAGACAGACAGAAATAGAGGAGGCAGCGAGCTGACGAGACAAAGCAAAGACAGGGACACGGGGAAAAGGGTGGAGGGGGCCAGCTGGAGGGGCAGGCGCAAGGGGGCGGGAGGGGCCGGCCGGGGGCGGGAGGGGGAGCGAACCGAGGTGGCCCAGAAGAGACAAAGAGCCGGAGGGGGAGCAGGGAGGGCGACTGTCTCTCCCCCGCCAGCGGGCTGGGCCGCTCACCTGTCCCAGGTGGCGGGCTGAAGGCGGATCCTGGGTTGGGCCCCAAGCCCAGAGCCACGGATGGCGGCGTCCCCAGGCTCCAGCTTGGCAACACCCATTCCCAAGCCACCCCAGGCCGGGCGGAGGCGTGTGCTCCCGTGCACCCCGATTGTGCTGGGAGTGCAGAGGCGGGCACCCGTTCCCCAGAGGGCTCCTTCATGGGGGCTGCCCTCCCCAAGACCCTGCCTGGCCGGGGCCCTGGGCATTTAAAAAGTTGCTTCCCTGTGACAGCGCCACCCAGGACTTGGCCTCAAGGGAAGACGTGACCCCCAGTGTCCTTGGCCTGTCCGCCCACCGCCTGGTCGGTCACTGCTCACCTGTGAGGTCACCGCCTTGGACCGAGGCTCCCAACCCGCCCTACTCTTCCGCCCATGGGTTTGTTTAGCGTGCGCCCCACTCTTAGCAAAGGAGCTCCTGCCCTGTCTGGGCTCTCAGCGGTCCCGGCCCGGCCGGACAGCAGTAACCGTGGGGGTCTCGCTCCGACACTCACGCGTCCTCGGCCTCCGCCCCGGCCCCGCCACCTGCCCCGAGCGCGCCGCGTCTCCACGCGCGCTACCCCGACGCTGCCCGAGCAGAGGGTCCCGGCGCCTCCCCTACTTGCACACCCCGCTGCTCCCGGGTCCCCACGTCATCCCTCAAGTCACCGACTTGGGGTGCTTGTTTTCTTCCCAGCTCTCATGCTGAGCAGGGCACCCTGCCCTCCAGCTACTGGCAAACTCCTACGCCTGTGCCAAAGCCCTAGGCCCCAAGCCCCGGCTTCCGCTGCAGCCCCGGCGCGACTCGCCGGCCCACGGCCTGGGGTCCGGCACGTGGGGGCAGCAGGAAACGGCTGGCTGTGCAAGGAGGGGCGCACGTGAGCGTGCCTGTGCCGGGGTCCACGTGAGGCGCCCCCGGCTACGCCCCCTCTTCCGTCCAGGTCCCGCCGCAGCCGTCAGACCCTCAGCTGCATCTCCCGCCCCCAAGTTTGCAGTCCTGGCGGGGGGGGAGGGGGAGGGGCGCCCGCGCGTGCGCACTCGCCGCAGCTGGGTCGACGTCCCGCCCCCGAAGGGCAACCCCGCGCTCTTATTGGCGCGGGTCGAGATACGGGCTGCGCAACCACCAATGAAGCTGCTCCCCCCTGGTGGGCGGGGCCTGGGCCTCCGGACGCGCAGTCGGGGGCTGGGGTGACGTCAACCCCGTAGCGCGGTGCGTTGCCCTGGAAACCGCGTTTCCATCCCCGCGGGTTCCGGAGCCGCCCCCTCCCATTCAGCTTTTTCCTCAATGGAGGGGGGTGGTGCGGGGCCGGCCCGCCCCTCCGATGCCCTGTGCTCCGGACTCAGTGTACCTTTCGTCTGTCCAGCTCCTAGGTGGCCTCCGTCGCCCCTCTGATCGCCCCACCGCTTAGGCTGGGCCGGGTCTGGGCCGGCGCAGACATGCCCCGGGAGGACGCTGAGCGGGAAGAGGGCAGTGGAGCACTGGTCACCCAGCAGGTTTCCAGCTAGGCCCCATGCAGGACCCTCAGCAGACCGGCATCAGGGGCATCGTGTGTCTTCTGACCACCCAGTACTCATGATGTCCCCTCAGACCTCCAGGGCAGAGCTGTGACCCATCAGAACCCCCAGGACTTCTTGGCCCCAGGGTCGTGGAAGGAAGTGTGGGGAGGGGCATCTGGGACAGTCCAGTGATTCAGGCCCTTCTGTCAGCATCCTTCTTCCTGGGCCTCACCCTGCCTGTGACCACAGTTGACCTCAAGCCGCCTCAGCTGGCCTCGTGACCTTGGCCAGGCAACACAGAGCCTGGCCCTAACCTGAGGCCTCCCGTCCACGGTCAGCCGAGGGCCCAGGCCATCCTCCTGCTGTGGGTATCCGGCAGGTACAGGATGGTCTGGGAGTGGCCCCCTGGGGTTCCTCTACTAGGGCAGATGTCAGTCTCAGGTGGGAGTCAGGACCACACAACATCACAGATACAGAACCTTCTGGGCCGAGTATAGCAGCTTCAGATTCCTCATGTCTAAAATGGGCACATCGTTCTCAGGCTATCATCAGACTCAGGGAAGGGGCTAGCACCTCTCAGGGAGCCGCAGGCTGAGAAGGGTCCCTGCTTGCACGTCCCGTGGCCATGGTGGACGCTGGGCAGGAGCCCTGCTGGGCCAAGACGTCCCCGAGCTAAGCCAGGGGATAGGAGTGTCCCTGGCACTGGGTTCCACCTGGGTAATGCCTGACAGGTTGGTACTGGTGGCTCGGCCAGGGTGCCGGCATGCAGAGCAGGGCTGAGGCCTAGAATGCCAGCCCATGATGCCAGCCCGAGCCACTTAAAGGATTGGGGACCACCCACTCTGTGACTCCCTCAATTTGACCCATGAGCCAGTCCACAGCCCCCTCCTGCTTCTGGGGCCGAGCTAACAGCCTCGTCTCCCAAGCCCACGGAGCCCCCTCCTCTCTGCACAGCCCCGCTCCCCAGACCTGGACTCTGAGGCTAGGTAGGTGAAGGGCCAGCCAGGGCAGGCAAGAGGGCAGGCCTGTGCCCCCACACCCATCGGAAGGGCCTGGCCTCCTCATACCAGGAAGTGGCCTGCCCCTCCCTCCTTCCTCAGGCAGCTTCCTGCCTCCTGAGGCTAGGGAGGGGGCGTGGGAACCACTCCAGGATGAAAGCTCCCCTCCCCTGGGCACCCCACTTCCCATCCCCACTGATAACACCCCCTCACCTTCCCCTTAGGCAGGAAAGCGCCTCCCCCTCCCACCCTCCTCTCAGCACACACCAAGGCCCTCGTGGTCAGTGCCTCCCACCCCACCACCAGGGCCCCTAAAAGACCCAGAAAATCTTTTCTTCTTTCATTTTTTGTTTATTACATGAAATCAAGGCGGTTTTCTTTCTCAATTTCATCTTTTCATACTGGAAACTCACGCAGGGTTCCGGGACCCCCACAGTCCAACCCCCAAGGGCAGGTAATGCTTTCTTGGGGGGCCCTGGTGAGGACAGAGGGGGCGGGCCACCCCTGCCTGGGGTCTCTGCCCTCTGGCCCGCGGAGGCACAGACGCTATTTAAAAATGGTTTAAAAAACAAAACAACACACGTTTAAATAGGAACCCAAGGCAGTTCTTGGAAAAACAAATGTGCCCCTTTTTTCTTGAAAAACAAAAACAAAGGGGGGGAAACCCCTTGATCCCCCAAGCCCTCCCTGCCCACCCCCCACAAAAAAATGTACAGAGCTACAGTAACACATGATGTTCACATCTGAAACCGTTAAACACGTGACGGGGTGAGGTGGGACTCACCTACAGGTAAGGGGACAAGCAGGGCAGGGTGGGAGAAGGGCACAAGACAGGTGAGGCTGGGACAGACAGACAGGAAAGGTGTGGGGCAGGGCCCAGCATCCCCATTCGCAGTAAAAAACAAAGTGAATTGGAAAAAAAAAGTCCACCTACTTTGAAAGGGCCTGGTTGGGGGCTTGTCCCAATGCCCTGGGGCAGGGGGACCTGCAGACCCCCCGGGGCCTGGGCTCTGAGTGTGGGGGGGCCCAAATTAGACCAGCAGCGACCCCCCCCAAGGGGGTTAATGCTACACACCATTGTCCTGCCCAGGGTTTCACAGCTCAGCACCCTCCCCTTCAGGTCAGTGGGGTGTGGGCACCCAGGTGAGCGGCAGAGGCGGTCCTCGCCCGTCCCACAGGACAACCAGGGTGCCTCCCCAGGCCCCCACCCCACTATTGGCTCAGTCAGAAAGTCTATAAATACCCCAAGCCCAGGAGGTCAGAGGGGACGAGGTTTGAGGACAAGCACAGTGAATGGCCCGTGTGGACCGCAAGAGGTCTGTCCCCGTGCCCCGTGTCCTTTCCAGGCAGGAGGGCCCAGCACCAGGGCCGGAACCCCTGGGCAGGCCCTGGGCCTAACCCCAAAAACGGCTTTCGTTTGTTTTTTTATTTAAAAAGGAAAAACAAAACAAAAAACACACCACCAAAACCCAAAGCAACCAGCGAAGGAAGAATGGAGAGGACAGAGGGGACCCGCCAATCAGCACACTCATCTGGGACCCGGTGGCTGCAAGCCTGAAGCTTGGTGGGGGCGGGACAGGGGTCTCTGGGCCCCTCCTGTCCCCATAAAGTGCATGAGGCATCGAGAATTTGTGACTCTGAACCTGAATGGGAGGGAGGCAGCGGAGCTGAAGGGGCGGGGGGAGGCTTCCTCCTCGCCATCTGGCTGGACTTCTCCATCTCTGGGGCTGGGGAGTGGGCGGCGGCGGGAGCTGAGGGGCGGCACCGTGGGGCCTCCTGCCCAGTGTCCCGGACACCTTGGTGAGCATCGTAGGAAAGGGCGAAGGTCGCGCTGAGCTGGCCGCGGGAGGAGGTCCTGCAGTGCTGCCCACTGCGTCTCCGCTGTGCCCGGGACCTGGCCACTGGGCTGAGGAGCTGCCCTTAAGCCACCACGAACTCAGACTTGATGTCGGGGTTCACTTCCGGCTTCCAGACGGAGTCCTCAAAGTCGAGGCCTAGGCTGGCCGCCTCGCCGGGGCCGCTGGGGCTGTCACTGCGGCCGGCCTTCCGGCTGGGCCAGTGGTAAGGCCCGCGGGCGTCGCGACGTGCCTTCCGGCGCAGTCGGTTCTGCTGCAGTAGCAGCTGGAGCCGCTCCACTTTGCAGCGTGTGGCCCGGTTCTCTGTCTGCCGCAGGCGGTCACCTGCAACAGAACGGACGACCATGACCCCCAGGTCTGAGAGGAAGCACCAAGAGTGGCATGGCCTCTACAGGTAGGACTGACTGCAGAGCGTCCCCTTCGAGGTTTTCCCAGGTGGCCATTCCCCCAGAGTCGCTGGGTGGGCTTTCTGGTCAGCATCCAAGCCCGACTCTGGCCAGCGTGTGACCCCAGGGGCTGCAGGATCCTGTGGTCAGTCCCATCTGACTGCTGACCACCCCAGGGCGTGTGACAGGACTGGGCTCTGTTAGGCCTCAGTGTCTGACATCAGGGATCCGCTGTGAGGACTGGGCTCGAGGCTTTCGGGTCTGAGCTCAGTGCTTCTGTGTGAACTTGAATTGCCACGTTCAGTAAGCAGTCAAGTGCTTAGAAGCCGATCCGGTCAGCCCTGACCGTGCATCTGGAAGCCCTGAAACTCGAGGCCGTGTATGTGGCCACAATCCTGTGACCAGAGTAACAGGATCTTTGTGACTTCGGTGGGTTGTGCCCTCTCTCAGGCCATCCTGACTGAATGGGGTGTCCAAGGCAGCGTGAGGGGCCTGACTTCCACTTCTCTGTGTCCCCAGGGTTCTGCTCAGGACCGGGCCCAAGAGCAGACTTTAAATGAGAGAACCCACTTTTAAGGAGTAGGGACCCCAACCTGTGCCTGCTAGGGGGAGGATTACAGCTCAACAGCCAAGATCTATCTCACACAGACCCCCTCCCCCCGCTGGCCCTCACTTGGCTATTCATAGTGGCCCAACGCCATCTGGACAGGGTGGAGTGGGGGTGGCGGTGGTAAGGAGGAAGTGAGCAGGGACCCCCTTGGGAACGGACAAGGACACTTTGTGTCCACACACACATGGTCCCTTCTCTGCAGCTCTGGCCCGGCGGGGGAGGCAGCAGCTGGTGCCCTCAGCCCTGGCTGGTCAGCTGTGGAGCCTGGAGCTCACAGAGGAGCCTTGAGAGGGATGCACGCTCACCACCTGGGGCGCAGGCTCACCTGGGGCACACGTGCTGGGTGGCTTGCACATCCGGATCTGGCTCTGGCCCTGCAGCAGGGAGGTGGGGGACACAGCGGGCAGCTTCTCACAGGAGGTAGACTTGGGGGCGAGGTCGGTGGCCTGTGCAGCGGGTGTGCACTGGGCGTGACAGCGCAGCTGGGTCAGCGAGGGGGGCATGCCCTGGTAGTGCCGCGTGGCACTCAGGAGGTCATTGAGGATTTGCAGGATGGTGCCAATGTCACGCCGCGGCCGCCCGCTGCTGTCCTGGCAGTTGGGGTGCAGTGTGCCTGCAGAGAGGGGGAGCACGATGAGCACACACTCTGGGGGTCCACAGACATGTGAGGGGGTGGGAACCAGCACGTCACCCCAAGAACCACCTGTGTGACCCTGTGCGTGCAAGCTCTGAGGTGAGGCAGGAATGGCCGTGAAGGACAAGCCCACGGGGCTCAGTGCGTGTGCCCAGCCCCACACGGTCAGGCCCTCAGCGGTCAGTGACCAGGCCCTCAGTGACCACCTACCGGAGAAGGTTCCTGAGAAGACTCCTGGAGCGTGGTTGACGAAGCTCTCGATGACGGCGCCAGGCTTCCGGGGCCGGGGAGCGGGGCTGGCCCCTGGGGTGGTCGTGGTCCCACTCACAGGCGGAGCGCAGTCCACCTGCTGACAGGAGCGAAAGGTTGGTTTGGAGTACGAAAAGTTATCTCGGGGGCCAGGGTTCAGGATAGCCCAGCCCCATGGTGTCACTGGGCCTTGAAGTGAGGGTCCAGTGTGGGGTTCTGAGGCCACTTTCTCCCCAAGACACTGGGACAGTCCACCCCTTGGGGTCCCAGGTGAACCCCACCTGGGGGCTCACCTTGGGGCAGGAACTGGAGGCTGAGTGAGACCGGAAGGAGCCGGCTGTGACTGGTGAGGGAGACGTAGGGGCAGGGCTGCTGGGCACGGGGGGGACACGGGCAGCACTGGACACAGGCCGGCATGGTGAGGACACCGGAGCTGCTGTGCTGGGGTCTCCCCGGGAGGCAGCAGCAGCAGCGGCAGCAAGGACGTGGCGATGCTGCAGCGGGGCATGCTGGGCCGCGAGCTGCAGCTGGACAAACATCATGTGGTCACCCACACGCAGGGCCAGGGTCAGTGGCGAACGGCCCGACAGAAAATCACTGACCTGTGGAGGAAACGCGGCCTGTTAGCGCCAAGCCTGGTCCCCAGTGCCCCTAGCCCAGCCCAGCCCTGTCCCCACGCTGTGTGACCTGGGGCCTCTCGCTGCCCCTCTCTGGGTTCTGGGGTCCCTGTCGGTGCCACGGATGCTTAAATATAAGGAATCGATATTTCCGGAAGCTGCCTCCGCCAGCCCGGCCTGGCCTGGGTCCCGCATGGGGCTGTGGGGGGGGGGGGGGGGGACGGGGGGGACAGAGGCGGGTCAGCGGGAATGTAGGCCTCCCTGGCCAGTTGGGTTCTTAAAGGCAAGGAGGAATCCAGTGGGGGTGGGGCCCAGCTGCGGGTCCTGCCCTAGAATAACCCTCAATTCTCACCACTGCCCCACCCTTTCCAGCCCGTTTTCTGTGTCCCTGAACTTGAGGGGGACCTGCTGTGGCCCCATCCCGGCTCAGCACCCAGTCAGAGTGGGTGGAATTCCTGTGCAAATTCTTCCATCCTAACCTTTGCTTTCTCAAGATAAATATTTATCTGTCCTGGGCGGGGCGGAGGCTGAGGGGTGGTGCCACCAGGGGAGGGGGGCCCTGACCCCTCCCCCGGGCCTGTGTCCCTCCCCCTTTGGCTCCATAGAGAAGTCTGCCCAGGCCCCACCCCCCCTCACGGGGTCCCAGGGTGGAGTGGGTGCGGGTGCCTCTGCCCTTGCGCCCTCATGGGTCTCAGGGAGCCCCCCTCCTCCGTGCCTGGCCACCGCCTGGTTCTCCCCAGAGGCCAGGATGGGGGGCGGAGGTTTCTGAGAACTGACACAGCTCGGGATGAGTCACTCCAGCCTGCCTCCCTCTCCACCCAGCGCCTTCTCTGCATGGGGGCCGTGGGGAGTGGGAGGGGGTACAGGGTGCCGTCTCAGTCCCTCAGGCACGACAACCTTGCAGGAAGGGATCAGGGTGGCCTCTAGCAGCTAGGCAAGCCCCCCTGCAACTTCCTCCCTGGAGAGGGCATGTGGCCCTGACTGAGCCAGGCAGGACGTGGCCCCAGGGGGCTGTCACCCCGCCCCGAGCTCCCGCCCCCCCCTACTGACGCAGGCATCCTGGGCGGATGTGAACCCAGCCTGCCGGGGGGCCCCTGCCAACCACAGCCTGTGCGACAGACAGCCAACAGGAGAGAGCTGTCCACACTCGCCCCAGGAAGTCACGCGCTGTGGCTGCTGGAGACCACCAGCCCCCTAATCTGGCAGGAGACCACCTGGCTCCGAGACCCCTCCCTCTCTTGGGGCTGCTCTGGGCAAGACCCTACATGCTGGGGAGGGGGCAAGAGGCCAGACAGGGAGGCCAGCGCCCTCCCCCTGCAAGAAGCCGCCGAGCAGGTTTTCCGAGGGCCTGGCTGGGGAGGGCGCGACTGGGGAGGCCCAGGATCTTTCCCACCCCCTCGCGGGCTCCTCCACCCCGCCCAAGGAGGGACTGCCAGGCCGTGTCAGCTGCTGGGAGGTGGCCAGAGCCGCGAGGGGGAGGGCCGCCACCGCCCAAAAATGAAGGAAGGAGGAAGGGAAGCAAAAGTCGAAACAAAACTGCAGAGCTGGGTGGGGGCCAGCCCGGTGCCCCCTAGACGGCCTCCTCCAAGTTACTAAATAATTTCCTAACATCCTGTCTGTGCCCGGCAAGGCGCAGCGGACGCCCCCGCCCCCGCCCCTCGGGGCTGAGAACAAAGGGCAGAGGGGGAGGGGTGTGAGGTGACTCCCCACCCCGCACAACGGGGTCACAGCAGGCGGAAGGAGGTGTCACCCAGGCCAGCCCTTCCCTTCCCGTTCCTGCCCCCACCCCAGCAAAAACCTGAGAAGTAAAAACCACCCCGGATTGCACTTTGGGGAAGCCACAGTGGGTGGGGCGAGGGTGTGGGGCTGGTGTGAGGCCTGGGTCAAGGTCACCTGCAGGCAGGTTTGTGAAAAACGGTGCCCCCCTCTCCCCATGGCGGCCACCGTGGGAGAGAAAGAACTCAAGGTCAGGTGGCCAGGAGGAGGCCAGGCGGTCAGGCCAAGCTGACAGAGGCGGGGCAAAGCCTGGCTCGCGGCCCTGCCTGGACACCAACAGGCCTCCAGTGGCCCCAGTGCCCCGTCCCACCCCCCACTCAGTGGAGGAGACGAGCGAGGGTCTTACCTGGGTCTCGGTCAAGCTCTCCAGGGCCTGCATCACCGACTGCTCCGGCCGGGAGACCTGGGACTAGAGGGGGAGGGACAGCACCTGAGTGCGGGAACTGCCGCCTGGGGGACGGTGGGGGGACACGGGGGTGGGGGGGTGCGGTGGAAGTGAGGCGGGAGGGGCTGGCCACTGCGGCTGGGCCCCCAGGTCACACCACCCGGGGCGGCCATTTACCATGAGGCCGGCCTCCACTGTGGGTACGAGCGTCAGCTTGCTTCCATCCCCCACGCCGAAGTCCTGCAGCTTCCCCGAACTGAGGCGGCTGGGGGCGGAAGGAAGAGGGTGAGACTCGGGAGCCGACACGGGGACGCGGAAGCCGGCGGGGGGCGGGGGGGGGCGCAGGGGATGCGGCTCCCACCCCCACCCTTCCTGGCTGCCAGGTCCAGGCGCGCTCCGAGGCGCCCACCCAGGCAGTTGGAACCCCTCGGGCCGGAATCCCAACTCCAGACGCAGGACCCTCTTTGAGCCTCCACGAGGGACTTGGTCACCTCTGGCTCCGTACCCCCCCCCCAGGCGGCCCGGCGCGCTCACACCCCAGCGATCTGCGGTGGGGGGGGCCTTCAGGGGCTGCGCTGGCCCGCTCCCCCTCCTCCCTCCCAGGCGCAGGCCGCCGCAGCTCAGACAAAGGAGACCCTCCCCCCTCGCCCCTCCCCACAGGGGCCCCTCCGCTGGGGATGGACACTGCATGTCCCCGGAGGCCCGCGGGGGGAGGGCTCCCCGGGCTGCAGGCGATTTAAATACCAAGTGGGAGGGGGAGCGAGCGGCGAGCGCTCGGTGGCGAGAACAAAGGGGGGCAAAAACACGCGGAGCGGCAGAGGGGGAGAGACAGACAAACGCACAGGGGGCCGCCGAGCAGATGCGGAAGCCGGGCGGACTCGGGAAGAGGCGGGGGCGCGCGCGCCCCCCACCCCCACGACCCCCCGGCGGCCCTGGGACTCCTGCCATCTCCCAGGGGGCCCGCGGCTCGGCTGGGGAGCTCCCCCGAAGGTGCCTTTGTGCGGCGACCCCAGGCGGGGGAGGGGACCCCAGGCAGGCGAGGCTGAGCAGAGGGCGCCCGAGAGCGCGCGGCGCGCCCCCGCCCCCCGTCTGGCCGCCCCCTTCCTTCCCTGCGCCGCGCGCTCTTTGTTCCCGCCCGGGGGCCGGGACCTGGAGGGGCGGCGGGGCGGGCGCGGGGGCGGCGCGGCACCTACGTGTCTTTGTGGAGCAGCGCCAGGCGCTCCTTGGGCACTTTGAGGCGCTGGGACAGCCGCTTGCGCAGCCCGTCGACCGTCTCGTCGGGCGGCACCGACAGCTCGTAGCGAGTGCCCGTCGTACTATGGATGGCCAGGCTCATGGGCGCCGTCTCGGCCGCCGGGCCCAGCTCGCAGGCACCGCCGGGGCCCCCGCGCCGGCAGCTCCGCGCGCCGCCGGGCTGCGGCTCCATCCCCACCCCGCGCTAGGGGGCTGCGCCGCGGCCGCCGGGGAGCTCTCTCCGTGGGTATCCTCGCTGCCGCCGGGAGGAAACTGGGGGGCGGCGGGGTCTTCCCGAAGCCGGCTACTCCAGGAGTTCGTGGGCCCAGAAGGTGCCAGCAGAGGCCAATCCCCAGCCCCAAATCCGAGAGATCCTCCGGGTCGCGTCAGTTTGTCCGGGCACCTTCCGGGGTGGGGGCGGCGAGGCGGGCCTGGCGCGGGGGTGGTCCTCGAGAAGGGGGCGTCGCGCCCTGGTCAGACGCGCTCCGTGAGGTCTGCACTCCGGCCGCACTGGCCCCGCGTCCCCTCCCTTAGCAACAGCCGCCGCCGCCGCTCAGAGGATCTGGGGGTGAAAGTAACACGAAAAAAAAGTTATAATGTATCAACGTTCGAAGAGGCGGGGCCGCCGCCCCCTCCCATTCACTACTTACTCCGCCGGCTGCGCGCCGGCCAATCACGGCTCTGACGGCCGCGCGTCACAGCCAATCAGGGCCGCCCGGGTGCTCCCCCACGTGGCAGGGAGGCCCGCCCTCTCCCCGCCCCCGGCTCTCGCACGACCAAGAGGAGCGCGGCAGAGGCGGGGCTGGCGCCGCTGCGGGACGCCCCCGCGACCCCCGCCCCCCGGGCCATTCATAAGGGCCGGCGCCCGCAACAAAGGGCCGGCCCGGAGGCTGGGGCCCTCGGCGGCTCGTCTGCGCCCCTCCCCTAGGAGGGCACGGCCTTGGGGAGGGGGTCGCACGCCATTGTCCGGAGTGACTGCCGGGGAGAGGAGGGTGTGGGAGGAAGTGGATGTGCAGCCCCCGAGCGTTGGTCCGGGAAGCAGCGGCTAGCGGAAGCGACAGCAGCCCGGCGCTTTATGCTAGGGGGCTAGCCCGGGGGCCTGACCAGGCCCTTCCGTCCCGGGCGGCCGGGAGGCGCGGGTCCAGGTGCCCGGTTAGTGGCCCGAGTACAGGGCCTCTTCCGGGCGGTGTCACCCCCTGTCCCCACCGCCCCAGTCCCTCGAGCCGGGCCAGCGTCCCGAGACGCGCCCGCCCGAGCCATGACGTGACGCGGCGTCCCCAGCTGCGCCCGCCCGCGCCGCTCGGGGCTGCGGTGAGTCAGCAGCGCTGGCGCTCCCTCTGCTGGCGCCGCCGGGCAGCGCGGCCCGGGGCCGGGGGAAGGGTCGCTGCGGCGGGTGGAGGGGGCAGGGTTGCGGGCCGGCCGGGAGGCCCGAGGATCTGAAGCCCTCGGCCGCGCAGCCGGGGAAACTGAGGCCACCAGCTCAAGGTCACACGCCAGGAGGGGAAGGGCCTGGGGGGGTGGGGCGGGGGCTGAGTCGGACCCAGGCGGTGCTGGCTGATCGGAGCCCCACCCCCCTCCCCAAAGGCTGTCTCAGCCTGGAGGTGCCCCTGGCCTTGGCTGACCCCCGAACAAAGAACCGCAGGAGAGTGTCCAGTTAGGGTCCCCTTCCCGCCGGCAGGCTCCCGCCCCCCCACTCACCGGGCGCGGCTGGTCCTGGGTGCCAACCGTGCTGAGTGTCCCCACGTCCAGGGCTGGTGAGCGAAGGCCGGGCCGGTGTGGGGCCCCGCGGGCGGCCCCCGGCCTTTATTCGCGCCGCCTCCCGCCTTCCCTCGGGGTGGAGTTTGGCGGGCAGGGGGCGGGGGCCGGAGCGGGCGGTGACGCAGGCCGGCACCCGCCCCTGCCCGCCGGCCTGGGCCGGAGGTCGTCGGTTCTCGCAGTCCCTGCAGAGCTGCGCACGGGGCGGGGTGCTCGCGGCCGGCCGCTCGCCGACCTGGGTGCAGCCTCCGCGGGTCCCGGGACCGACCCTGGACGGGTGCTGCGCCGGTCCTCACCCGGAGCTTCCGCGTGGGGGGCGGGCAGGGGGCCTGAGTCAGCGCTGCCACCAGGGAAACAGGCCGGGACTCCTGCGCCGAGCGCTGCCCCCAGCTGCCCAGGCTTGCAGCCCTTCGCGGTGACCTCAGAGGACACTTCCCCGCCCTGTGGCCTAGCTCACGACCTGGGAATGCTTTGTGACCTAGCCTGGGTTTCTCCTGCCGTCTTCCGACTTGGGAGAAGGGTCCTTTGCTTTGAGAATGGGGTCTCCGTCTAGGTTGCCAGGGTGGGAGTTAATGACTCTGGTAGGAGCGAGGGACCCCCAAGTATTCCTGCTCCCACTGCCCACTTATCTGGTCAAAGTCCTCCTGCTATCTCCCCAGGCCACTTCAGTTCCCACCCTAGCCCCGGGGCCCCTCCCAGCTGTCTTCGTCTCACCCAGTATTCCCTGCAGCTGCTGGCCCCCCACCCTGACCTGGGCACACCCGAGCACTCCCTGCCCTAGGGGTCAGGCTCTGGCCTCAAGGAAGCAGGGGTCGCTACCGGGGCTGGAATTCTGTGATGACCTGTAGGGATTAAAGGCTACCTACCTACAGAAGAGGGAAGTAGGACCAGGTTTGGAGCTGGTGGGGCTTCAAAGGGACTTGGACATGACCGTGACCCAGGCAGCCCAATATCCAAAGACTCGAGGGGACAGACATAACCTGCAGCATGTGCACTGTGGCTATGCCCTGCTTTACCCCAGCTGCCGAGTGGGCAAGGCTCCCAGCCCTCTGGCTCTTGGACTTGAGGGAAAATACTGCTAGAAAACTCATCTCTAAGATTTTTTTTTTTTTTGGGGGGGGGTTGGCCGGGAGAGAGCCTCGGCCTGGGAAGATTCAGGTTGAATTCAGTAAACGTGTACTGGACTGTGGCTCCTCTGAGGAGCAAGACTGGGTTCCCCGCAGTGAAGCGTTTCCCCGTGCCAGCTGTGGTGGCCCCAAACCCCTAGGGCTGGCTCCTGGTCCCTCAGCCTTGGGGGAACCCTCGCTGAGCTCAGCAGAGGTGGGCTGGGCCCTGAACTCACTGTGTCCTTCATCTTATTTATAGCATGATACCATCTGGGCCAGGAAGCTGGACACAGACCTGGGAGGGCAGGGTGGCTATAGCATGTGGCCACATGATCCATGGCCAGCCCTGCCCCACAGGCACCCCCTCACACTCACACGGCCACGGGGAGTCACTCACAAAGGGCAGTGACACACCATGAGCTCGGTGGACATGGCATGCACGTGCGCGAGGTGGCCAGTCACTGCTCTGGCTACCAGTGACGCACAGGCACGACCCGGCCGAGACACTAAGGTTCCTGGCATCCTCTGACCGCCCGACCCACAGAGACCTGGCTGTGGGGCAGCTGTCCTGGCAGGAACACAGATGACCCTCTGAGGTGGAGGCGTGGCTGCCCTCAGGCCCACCCCACCCTTCCAGTGGCCTTGGTGCCCACACCCAGGCCACAGGCAGCTGGCCAGGCTGGCCCACCCACAGTGGGTGTGCCCAAGGCGGGGCGTCTGTGGGAGCAGGCAGGCCCAGCCTCTTCCCAGTGGAAGGTTGGGCCTTCAGAGAGCTGTGCCCCGGGTACTCATGCCTCAGCTTGGCAGTAGTGGCCTTGCCCACTGGCCCATGTGGCCAGTGAACTTCACCCGGCCCACTCCAGGGTTCAAGACAACACCCTGCCCGGCCTCACCCCAGCTGTCCCCTGCAGGCCACCACCTCCAGGGGCGAAGGATAAGCATGGCTCACCCCCTCTCCCAGGGGGACACTCAAGGCCCCACCGCAGGCAGGAAATTACAGGCAGCATTTGTGGGGTTCCCGATCTTTAATTGGCATGTGTGTTTCTGGGGGAGGAAGTTTGTTCCTCAGCAGCGGCAGCCTTCTTGACATCTGGTCTGAGGGAAAAGGGGTGGGAGCCTCCTGGCCCTCCCGAGGTGACCAGCCCTCCGAGGGGCACACACCACTACTCCAGGGCCTTCACCAGGGCCTCACCGGCCTCAATGCGGATCTGGATCTCCGCCCGCTGGGCCTCGTCAGCTGCCCCGGCCAGCTCCGCCTGTGCCTTCTCCAGGTTCGCCCTGGCTGCCTGTAGGGTCGAGGGGGATGTGAGGGCAAGGGTGGGAGGCAGCAACCCTGGCCAGCCAGCCCTGTCACTCCTTGCCTCCGCCCACCCCTACACTCACCCCAGCGTCCAGCATGTCCAGCGTTACGGCCTCTTCTGCCAGCAACTGCACAGAAGAGTCAGCGTTGACTGTGACAGAGCCACTGCTCACTGCAGGGGACAGAGGATGGGGTGAGACACGGGCAGAGTCAACCCCAAAGCTGAGCCAGCACCCAGGACACTGTGTCCTCAAACACCCCCTCAGTCACTGACTTAGGGTGATTCCCACCAGGCTCAGGGTTCAAGCCAGGAAAGTAGGAGGCTAAAGACATGCAAAAAGGGGACAGAAGCCAGGCAAGACAGAGGCCTGGGGCAGCCAGTGTGGACCCAGCCCTAAGCAGAGGAGCCAGCCAGAGCTGGGTTCCAGGCCTGAGGGATGTCTGGGGTGCATGGCACTACAGACCAAGTCCTTGGAGCACCACCCTGCTTCTGCAACCTGCCCACCAGGCCCAGTTCAACCACCACCCACGCCTCCACACAGGGCATGCACCGGAGGGCACACAAAGGCCATCATTCTATCTCTGGAGCCCAGTGGCACCCCAAATCGTGCAGGCGGACCTGTGAACTCTCACTCTCACTCCCTGCCCCAGCCTCACCGAAGTACTTGCTGGTGGTGCCATCCTCAGCGTGGACCACTACCAACCCGGGCTTCAGGACCTGCAGTGTGGGCACATGGGACGGCAGGATGCCGAAGGAGCCTGTCTGCGTGGACACATCCACCTGGCGGACGAGGGCATCGTGGAAGAACACCTGGAGAGGGTGGAAGGGGACAGGTCATTGCAAGTCAGCTCTCTGTCACCCCAGAATTAGGTCTGTCAAGCAGTGAGATGAGTCGGGGCAAAACTGGGGGTCAAAAATGCAGCCCCATGCAAAGATCCCGAGCCTCCTTCCTCAGTGGTCCAACGGGAGGTTCCCCAACTTCTTTAGCCCATTTGTTGATCTACAAGTGGGAATGTGGGGTGTCGGTGGTTCTTCTCCAGGGAGAGTTCCCACACTAGCCACGGAATCCCCGAGGGTTGGACAGCAGGTGCCCATTAAAGCTCGGGGCGTGGGACCCCGATGACACATGTAGACCGAGGAGGTGGGGGTGGCCAGAGGGTGGACTGCGTGGGACTGGGAATCGAGGGGCTGGTTCTGAACCACTGAGATGGAGGTGCAGGGTCCAGGCCTGGAAGGTCCGACAAAGGAGGGAGTGGGGTGATCACAGTGTAAGGTCGGGGTCCAGCGACCCTACGAGGAGGGAGTGGGGTGATCACAGTGTAAGATTGGGGTCCAGCGACCCTAGGAGGAGGGAGTGGGGTGATCACAGTGTAAGGTCGGGGTCCAGCGACCCTAGGAGGGATTGGGGCGATCACAGTGCAAAGTCGGGGTCCAGCAACCCGAGGAGGGAGTGGGGTGATCACAGTGCAAAGTCGGGGTCCAGCGACCCTACGAGGAGGGAGAGGGGGGAATCACAGTGCAAGGTCGGGGTCCAGCGACCCTAGGAGGGAGTGGGGTGATCACAGTGCAAAGTCGGGGTCCAACGACCCTACGAGGAGGGAGTGGGGTGATCACAGTGCAAAGTCGGGGTCCAGCGACCCGAGGAGGGAGTGGGGTGATCACAGTGCAAGGTCGGGGTCCAGCGACCCTAGGAGGGAGTGGGGGGAATCACAGTGCAAGGTCGGGGTCCAGCGACCCTAGGAGGGAGTGGGGGAAATCACAGTGCAAAGCCGGGGTCCAGCGACCCTAGGGGGAGGGAGTGGGGGAATCACACTGCAAGGTCGGGGTCCAGCGACCAGAGGAGGGAGGGAGAATCACACTGCAAGGTCGGGGTCAGCGACCCGAAGAGGGAGGGGGGATCACGGTGCAAGGTCGGGGTACAGCGACCCGAGGAGGGAGTGGGGTGATCACAGTGCAAAGTCGGGGCCCAGCGACCCTAGGAGGAGGGAGTGGGGGAATCACACTGCAAGGTTGG